ATGCCGCTTCCAGATCTCAAGAACGGCTGGGCCGATTGCGTTCAAATTTGGCACACCACTAGCGACCGGTTAGAAGAGTGCTTTGCACAAGCCCGTTGGAAGTACCCTCACGCCCTTCCGCACGTGCAGGGCTCACTATCTCGCTCGCTCGTTCTTCGCCCAAAAGGCGTTTTACTGGTTGTAATTGTATATACCCTGGGAATGCATTACCTGGTGGGTGCCTACCTGTATGCCAAGTTTCAGCGAAATCGCGTCAGTAATTACCGAGTTATTGAAATGGGAACAAATTTGGCACCTCTTCTTTTTGCATTTTGCACGTGCAGTGGGGGTCACTCACATAGATCAAGAGTATCCGACCTTTGGTAGAAGGGATGCAGCTACCCTACAAAAATTACGGCGAGACAATCGCCCAAGCGGCTGTTGAGATATGAGCCTCTCAAAATCACTACTTTTGCAAAACAGCTTGAACGAACACACTTGACTTTTCACGTGGCACGTGCCACGACGGTCACTGAGATGCATCAAAAGAAGTCAATTACGGGGTAGAAGGGATGGGGCTACCCAGCAAAAAAGACCGCAGGCCAATCGGTCCAGCGGTTGCTGAGATATAAGCCTCTCAAAAGCGTTACAGGCCGGGCCGGGCCGGGCCGCTCATACTGAGATTTTTCCGTTATCTTGAAAAGACTTCACTTCGCTCGCTGCGCTCGCTCGCTCGTAATCATCTTTCGATCCCCGGGCGCCGCGCTCAATCCATTACTGTGGCGTCGGTCCGTCTCCCAAACTGACTTCAGCTGACCTCGGCTGCCCACATCTGAGCAATCTTTGCCCCCACTAACATCAGATCATCCCTGACATCAGCACTCTTATGTCAAGCGCAGGAGCAACTCGAACCCGGGCGCTCAATTCCGGGTTATGAAGCTGTACCAAGCTGTACCTACGGAACGGACGAGACGGACGGGCCAGCTTAACAACCATTCAAATGCTTCTCTTCTGCATTACGAATAACGATCTTCCTCTGTTCACCTCTGGAGCTGACGGATGGTTGATCGATATTAATGCCACATGCTGCTGAGCTAGGGTTGCTATAGGTATCATTCATTTGCCAAAAGTGACACCAAAAATGCTAACAGATTTTAGCTTTAGAGATGTTTTGGCATTACCCAGCATTGCAATATGAATTTACATGGTGCTGAGGAGTCACGAAGGCAAGGGTTAGGGCATTGACCTTACCTGACTGATTCCCTGGGGTCAGAGCGACGTTCCGGAGTGGATTGTAGGGTCGATGATAGGACCAATCCCCGGGGCGTCGCGTGTCGGTACATCCCCGCCGCGCCGGTCGGGTCGGCCTGTCGTCCGTCATGTTCGTGTCATTGTGACAGATTGGATAGACGCCGAGCTGATGGTCGCTCGGCAGGCCTTCATCGCGGCACTCGTCTGAATGGGCGCTCGGGCTGTGCCAGCGCCCTGTAAATTGGCTCCTTCAATGGCCTCAGCCAACTCACTGTATAGGCGTTTTCCTCGTTGCCATTTAGGAATTTCAGTGAGGTTTGATTGCCGTGAAGTTGTGCGCTTTGCAAGGGCAATCATGTTTTTCGGCGATCTTTTTCCTGTTGGTAACCATTCGGCTGTGCTGTGGATTGTCGTGAGCTGTAAAAATCAGGTCTTTTAACCGTATTGGTATTATCTAGCACAATCCACTTCCAAGGTATTAGCGACGGTGTCTTGGACCTTTTCTTAAATACTTGAACTGTATTTGTCTGAACTGGAAAATTGAAGCTAGGCAACCATTTGATCCCTGTCGTGTCTGGTTTTCTTCTGGATATCGAATGCCGGATGAAATCACCGCTGTCTGTGACATCTAATCTCAATGACTACGAGGGGGTATCGAAAAGTTCTGATCATCACATAGAAGATATGGACCGATTTTGATGATTTTTGGTAGGCATTATATTTGGTTCTCAAGAACAATGTTCCCGCAAAGAAAATCCTGAGAAGTGGTTTTATCTTATGTAGGAGAGACTTAGAAGTAAAAAAGATGAGCATTGGGCCCACTGAGGACCGAACCGTCATCCAACTAATGCATTTGAAACGGTATCACACTGATAAATTACATCAAGAACGTGAACTTAGTTTATGGCGAAGAAAGCCCATCTCATGCACTTACCGAAAATGAAGAACTAATTTTCAACTTGGTTGCATGGCCTTTGCAAGGGAGTCAAGAAGTGAGTGACTACCAGTGATTGACAAGGTGGTGACTGTGAAGGAAGTGGAGGACCTCATCCTTACAGATCGTCGTGTGGCCTCTCAGATGATTGTGCAACAGAAAGGTCTCAATGCTGGCAGTGTCTGAAAATATTATCAGCGAAGAACTACAGACGATAAAGGAGTCAGCCCGATTAGAAGTTCGTGTGTCTACTTTGTTCGAGAGAAAAATTCGTCTTCGTTTTTCGAAACGAAAACTAGGCCTTTTTTAGGAAATTGAAGACATCTTTGATCATTTGATGACTTGTGACGAATGCTGGGTCTATGTGTATGATTCAGAGACAAAAAGATGATCTAGAAGTTTAAGCACGGCACATCTGCCCTTCTTAAAAGGCGAAGATGCAGAAGCCGATATGGAAAGTCAATGCTCTCAGTGTTCTGGATCTGGCGTAGGATAGTCATTACCGACTGTCTTGATAATGGTCGGATAATGATAAGCATGCGCTACTGCACACTTTTGAAGAAATTGCGAGATGGCCTCAAGCAGAATCGCCGCAAAAAAGCGCAAGAAAGATGTTTTATCCTCACGGACAGTGCCCCCACCCATTCGTCCTGAGCTGCGATTGAAGAAACAACATGATGTGGATATTAAATCCTACCGTATCTAACAAATTCACCTGACCGGGTATTAACTGACTCTTGATTGTTACGGGAGATGAAAAATCCACAGTATGGCCGGTGATTGAAGGACAAAAATGACGTCATTGATGAGGTGAAGCAGTGATTTACGGGACAGTGCGAAGGTTCTACAATGACCGCCTGAGGCAGTTCAAGAAACGATGCAATAAGTTTGCAGTCGTGTGTGGTGATTTGTGAAGAAGTAATGAACATCATGTAAAAAAATCAAATTTCTATCACATCTAATTCATGGTGATGATCAGAACTTTTCGATACCCCCTCGTATAAGCAGTTTTCCGCTGGGATGTTTATGCGATGTTGTTTGTCGAAAATCTCATCTGCTCAGCAGGCAAGACCTTGGACGCTCCTGCCTTCTTGTCCTCCTAACCCATTGATACATTCCGTAGCTCTCCCGTAGATGTGGCTCGTTGGGTTCACGTTTCCCAGTGGTACGATCGGTTTTGTCAGAGAGCTGAGGGCGTATTCAGTCAGACGACAGTGCTCTGCAGAGGGTTTTATCTGACCGCACTACTCGTGTCCGGCTTGAGCAGCCTTTCTATGCTTTCGGCGCCGCAATGGGTCGTCAGATTCAGATCATGGCCAATGGCCATCTTCTGTCCCAGTTTGACCGTGGGCAGTGGGGTCTCCATCACTCTACCCCTCCTCCGCCCCTCTTCCTCTCCCTCCCGCCGGCTGGCTGGCTCTGCCATTCTTGTGGGGCAGTGGCTTTGCGTCAGATTCTGAACTCGTTGATGTGAAGTTGCTGGAGAGTTTCCTTTGGCTCTGGGATTGAAAACTGTCAGTCTATACTCTGACGTCCTGTTTCGATAATGACTGCAAGATTTGTGTTTGCCATGCTGTGAATGCCTAAGCATCGTCTTCAATGCTCGAGAAAGGTCTAACTAACTGCCTCAGCGATCGGTTGGTGTAATGCAAAGCTGTCCTGTCGCTGTGAATCAAGTTGTCGCTGACATCAACCAAGCTTTGCAACGCAGACAACATGCATCTGAATTTGACGTAATTACCTGCATGCTATTTTGATGACTAAGTCTGTTCCGCTCTCGGACTCAGTTAAGACGATGTTGTGTCAGTTACGGTTGAAATTCTGCTGGACGTGTTTGCGGCTTGCGCAATATAGCTCGGCTAGCAGCGGATGTCAGATCTGGTAATACCGTGACTGGAAGTTAATCCGTCAGGGCATTGAACCCCGTGTTTTCTTTGTGTTATTCGTCTGTACCCGGCGTCAATCTCCGATACCCGTAGTTATCTCTGCTCCGACTATGAAAATCCTTTACTCTGCCGTCTTGACGTCACCTGGGCCTCGTTTCATAAAAGGAATTACTTGCGGCGTTCCGTCAATTATGCCAGATTTGGCGTATTTGATGCCAATTCGGTTTCATAAAGCCGGAGACCGGAGTAATTCACGCCATCGAAATTACGGAGCTTCATTTACGGCAAATGCTCGAATCCGGACCAATTGATGCCATTTGGGTTTCATCAAGGCCCTATATACCAGGTAGGTTCATTAGGGAATTTTTTACGTTCCCCCTACCGGCCCCGGATGACGTCACTGGGATGCTCCCGCCGCGGCCGGCCTATGTACAGAGCATTACTACGGACTTTCCGGTGGCATTTTTTCGTGTTATAACGCCCAAAAAGCTTTCGCGAGCACTTTTCCCACGAGAAATTGAAAATATGTCGCATTTTAAAGTGAGTAACAGTGATATAAGGTCACGTCCAGGAAGAGCGGGCCGAAACCAGCGAGGCTTGTATGGGTCCCAGGGCGCAGGGTTATGGAGTCGGGACCAGACTTTTGAATCGGATTGTCGGAGTCGAACTGGAGCCGTAATCGGAGTCGGAGTCGATTTTGGAAGTCGGAGCAGGAGTCAGAGTCCAAGTCACCAAAAATTCATCGGTTCCGCAGACTGCGGAGCTGCAGGGCTGCGAAGTCTGAGCCGGAATCGGTCAGAATAGACAGTTCTGCCCGGACCGGATTAGGAGTCGGAATTAGTTTTTGGAACTACGAGTCGGGAGTCACCGAAATTACATCGACTCCGCTGCGCTGCTAGTGCGCTCAGGACGGATGCACTTAAATTGCATTGCTGAAAAAAATCGAATACACATTGTCACTAAATATTATAAGTTTCACTTACGGGTGGCCGTTACTCACAGCTGGTGGTACAATATCGAGACGCACAGCCGTTACTCAATGTCGAGTCGCACAGTGAGTCGCACAGCCGTTACACACAGCCGGAGGCACCATGCCGAGTCACACAGCACCAACAAATCTTGCCGTACCACACCGAGTCGCACAGCCGTTACACACAGCCAGAGGCACCATGCCGAGTCGCACAGCACCCACACAGAGCCGGCCGTACCACACCGAGTCGCACAGCCGTTACACACAGCCGAAGGCACCATGCCGAGTCGCACAGCACCCACACAGAGCCGGCCGTACCACACCGAGTCGCACAGCCGTTACACACAGCCGGAGGCACCATGCCGAGTTGCACAGCACCAACAGAGCCGGCCGTACCACACCGAGTCGCACAGCCGTTACACACAGCCGGAGGCACCATGCCGAGTCGCACAGCATCCACACAGAGCCGGCCGTACCACACCGAGTCACACAGCACCACCCAGCAGTCGTAGTCGCTACACGAGCCGGTTTACCAGCTCACCTAGAGCTCCTTGCATGATGGCCAACTTTTCTATCGGCTCTTTTCAGCTGCCAGACCTCGTCCAGTCAGGCTAAGGACCGAAGGGGGAAGTGGAGACGGGTGCTCGCCAACTTCCTGGACACGCAGGTGCCGAGCTGAGGCTGCTTGACGGCGATGAACAGCTTGAGACGCTGTATGACTCGCGGCCCCTGATCTGCAGTTGCCCCCATCAGCAGGCAGAAGTTCCGCTCGAACTCCTCCACAGCGGCCACCCAGGCTTGTGACAGAACAAACGGCTGGCCTCGGCTGATCGTCACAATTCAGCTGTTCGGCAGGGTGTTCAGTGTCTCCGGCGGCGCCCGAGAAGTCAGGAGACCGACTACCGAGGGTGGCGTCGATGTGGTGACACTTGTATGCCACGAAGCCGGCAACAAATGCCAGCCCCTCGCGCTGAGCTTCCAGGTTGGAACTCGTCAGCTCGGCGCCGGCCATGGCTGCCAGCGTCGACTCCGGCAGCGGCACTGTGAAAGCAGTATTACGCTACATCACTTGAAAGACATTGGCAATTTAATATTGTGCAACAAAAAAAAAAAACCGATAACACTTAAATGAGCCTAGTCTACGCATTGAAAGTGACAGATTTCGCGGACAACGAAAAATTCATGCCCTTTGGCTTTGCATTAATCCATTTTCCCGTTACTATTGAAGCCTCGTTTGGCGACTGCCCCTCGAATTCGCTCGTGATTAGTGGCGGATCCAGGGGGGGGCAAAATGGGCATTTGCCCCTCCCAAACGGCATAATTTTAACATTACGCCTGTGGACGAGGCATGGAATGAATCGATAAATTGTTATGGTTTGCCCCCCCCCCCCCCCAAAAAAAAACTATGAGCTGGATCCGCCTCTGCTCGTGATTAGCATGGCACTTTTTCAGAAGAAAAAAAACACTGCGTATAAAAATGTTCAAACACCAACCAAGACTGAAACACAACTCAGCTTTTTTCTAAGTATGTACTAGTTAGGACCAGCATAGGACATTATCAGAGCATTTAGTGGATGTGACTTGAGACGTCACCTAATTGGATTGAGTGGCCTTATCCCGACAAAAAAGTCACCATTACTCATGGAAAAAAGAATGTTTTGATGCATTTTAACAATGGGAATAAAAATGATGATGTCGCTGATCGCTCAAGACAGGTCAGGATTTTTAACACTGATGGATATTCAGGATATTTGTGAACACTTTTAAAGTGAGTGAAAACATAAACCATTAGACTTACTTGTCAGAGGTGCCTGCTGGCTGGTCTAGAGGTTGCTCGCAGGCTGCTCCCAGAATCTCCTTGACCTCCTTTGCAGTGGTCCTCCTCAGGGACCTACTCGCCCTCGCCTCAGCTTTCCTGTAAACAGAAAACTCTCAGCACAAACAAATTTGGCTAACATCATGCTGACAGTACAAGCAACTAATAAATAAATGTTGAATAAGATTAAGCACCTACACATGAAATAACTTCAGTGACCAATTTGAAAATAAACAATAATACCATGCAAAAACATTTGTTTTCATTTTTACAGCTCTGATAACATTGCAACGAGATTGAGATGAACCCAGCCCGCAGTATGTGACCATACTATAAACAATTTAAATTTTAATGCTTAAAAGTAAAGAGCTCATTTATATTTCAATTTGCCACTGTAGCACTAGTTTGTTTACATTGCGTGTTTGCTCTAACCATTTTATTTGTTGAGTGTATCATGTTAGGTCAAGGTACTTATGCGCACTGCGAGCACTGAAAAATTATTACCAGCTTAATTGCAAAAATGGAAACTTTAAAAAACGCCGGATTATGTTTGGATCCATTGCAAAATAAATACCTTGGTAGAGGTTCCTCAGCATGATCCCAGCTTGAAATCCTACTTGGTTGTTCTTCATAATATATGAGACGAAACGTAATACAAAGTGCGGTTGCCACTTATGTTAAGCTTTTGCGACCTTCAAACACATGAAAACGTGTTTATATTATTAAACAAACATATTAAAACTTTGCATAACAACCAAAGTAATAACACGCAACGGTCGGAAAACACTGCGCCGGTGCGCCAGAATTGACTACGTTACTCGAATCTCAGCGACCAATCAGCTTTCGAGCATCCCAGTGACGTCACATTGGCAGCATTTGGTAGCAATTTCCTTGTACGTGTGTCCCTATGGCGATGAACCCCCCCTGGGTTTCATAAAACGACGTAATTAACGCCAAATATTTTATCAAGTTCTTGATATCAGTGGTGTAAACTACGCACAAAAATGTTGCGTGAATTTGAATTAATGTGAAGATTCGAAGCTAATTTTTAATATATTTTATAATGTTGAGCCCGGTGAGGAAGAAAGAACAGCCAAAATGAGAAAAAGAAACTGCAAATCTTCTGTACCAGTCGTTTTTTGTGGCAGCTATCGGAATTTTGTTTATTCGCCGCGCCGCGCCACTTTCGTAGTAAGGCACTTCTGCTTAGCTGGCTTTCTGCTGTTTTCAATATATTGATTTAACAAAGGATGGTCATCAATATCAATTTTGTTTTTTCATAAATAATTTTTAAGATAAAAATTAAACATAGGTAATTGTTTTATAATTTCTCGTAAAAAAAAATAAGTGTTGACACGAAATTGTAATTTGTAGGACGCTTGATAAATTACGGCAACTACGCAAATGTGCTTAGTTACGGAGGTGTAAACAATTCCAGTTGTGGCTTTGTGAAACCGCTTCATTTGCGCTCCGTAGTTTGAAAGGGTGTGAATTGCGGAAAGGTGTAAGTTACGGCAGAGTTTTATGAAACGAGGCCCTGGACCCGGTGCGGTCTGTGCGTGACCTTCTGACCGGTCTGACCTGCGCTGACCTCCGCCTGCCGTCTCGGCGCGGCGCGGCCGCCGGTGGGCGGCGTAACTGAACACCTGCACCGTCCGCCTTTGTCCGCCCCCGCCGTCCGCTGCAGCGCGCGGCGCCGGACGTGCAGGCGGTGCGTAGATACTGCGTGTGACGGACCCCGGCTGGTCGGGAGGCTGCGGGCCACCTCAGGGTGACGGGGAGCCGGGTCGGACCGCTGCGCAGTTCGGACGACTATTGATCGTTCTCTTTATGATGGCCTGAACTGGGCTAGTTGGTTATTAGGCCCGGAAAGTTCGAGGAATGTCGTTTGATGTGGCTCTGTGTCCCGGGTCTAGGGCTCTGATTGTGACATTGACTGCGACGCCAAGTTTGCAGGTGACTTGGGCAATTATGGGACCGAAATAGCGAATGGAGCTGCGGCTGCTTCATCGGGAAGGCTTCTTATGATGCTTACGGCGTCGGTGGCGCGCTTTGGCAGCGTTCCGAGCGGAGTAATGGGTCTAAAGCAGACATGTGCTTGGATCCGGAAAAATGGATCTGAGATCCGATCCCATGGATCCCGATCCGAGATCCATTCAGATCATAGATCCAACCCCTCAATTTTGTCGAGAGATCTACTGGGATCATAGATCTGACCCTTCAATTTTGTCGCTAGATCCACTCGGATCATAGATCTGGCTCCCCAATTTTGTCGTGAGATCCGTTGGGATCATAGCTCATACATAGGTGCTCAAAATGTTAACAACTTTCTTTCATAAGAAGTTATGAATACCAAAGTATGGTTAGAAACAAACAATCTTATACAAAGACCATATTAGTAAAGGCATCCAGTTACATTATACAGAATACAAAATAAAGGAGGCTCATGACGGTCACAACTTGAGAGAATTGAGTGACATGAAGATTGTTCACAGTTCACATACCAACAGAAAAGTTTGCATTAACAATTAACATAGAGGTAAGTCAAAGTAATGACTAATGAACAATACATAACTAGGTACCTACCACATCACAATTCATGTTAGAATCTACATAATGATATTGATAAGACAATCTCATTGATCTTGCATTAGACAACCATGAGGCTTTCCAGTTTCCAGCTACCACAATTGATTGATAAACAATAAAAGATGATACTGACACATGTGGCTTGGTTAGGTAAAGGTATTTCAATCTATTGAAAGAAATATTTGATAAAATAAACTGAGATATAAACAAAAGTATAAAAATATTCAACAGCCTGCGGAAGCGATGGGAAGCGAAATATCAATTGTAATGGCCTGGGATATTTACCGTAAAATGATTATTCAGTATCCAAATTGAACTCGTGACGTCATTTCAAATAACAAATGAGCTAGGCGTTCTACCTTCCAGTATAATGAAAATAAATAAAAAATCAAACTGGAAATTCAAAAGTCTGGAGCTTTTTTTTAAAGAATGTTCATTTTTTCTGCCTCACATGATTTTACGATACGATTGTTTGTGAATATCATCTTTGTAGCGTTGAATTTAATGACGTAAACGTAAGCTGAAACGGTATTATATGGCCCTGAGCGGTGTGCGCCTTGCATCTTAATTTTATTCACTTTTCAAAAGAATAACAATATCTTACGTCATTAGTTTAGAGGGCCTATTACGGGGAATCTTTTGGAATCATTACGGTCTTGGTCAAATTAAGATTTTTCATTGGTCAAACGATAATGACGTAATAAAACCATATTACCAAAACGTGAGCTGTGAATTTCGTTTGTCTTTTTTTGGGAGGCTCTCTCATAACAAAAGCACAGCATGGCACCACACGTGGCAGCTGGCAGGATGCCAAAAGTGGCCAAAAGTAGGTAATCTGAAGAAGTTGATGCCATTTTTGAACTTGTAATTTTATTAGGAAAGTATTAGAGGTTGGTTGCTATTCTTACTAAATCGAAATTGTGTTGCACATACTAATAGCTCATATGAACATTCTGGATTGGGATTTCATACCTGGCAGAAGTGGATTGCTGGATTATTTTTAACAAAACTGACCTATTTGGCTTCCAGGTTTGATTTCCTAACATCTGTCCATAGGCGGCAGAACAGGGGGGGGGGGTGTGGCACCAGGGTACAGTGCCCCCCATAGAGTTTGGCATTTTAGCATTAGCCCTACTGGCGTTGCAGAAAGAATGGGACCAAAATGAAAATCTGCAGTGCCCTGCTGCCACCGCATCTGTCTGTACTGTTTGTTCTTTGAATTAAAGTGGCTGTAGCTTGTTGATAAGATTGTCATCAGTGCTGTCATGAAAAAGTTACAATTGGTCACAAAAAGTAGCAATATGCATGTTCTTGGTTTATTTTAAATGTAGTACAAATGTTGTTTATTTAAATTCAAATTTAATGATGATACCTAATGATCACAAGTGGTCTTAACCAATAACCATGTCCACAAGTGATAATTCTCAATTGTATTGCACTGTAAGGTGTACAATTATGTAGGATAAGGGTTTCATTGGCTACATGTTGTCGTGAGATCCATACAGATCATAGGTCCTCCACAAATTTTAGCCCGCTGGATCCACAGAGATCATAGATCCGACCCCTAAATTTTGTCGAGAGATCCATTCAGATCATAGATCCAACCCCTGAATTTTGTCGAGAGATCCACTCGGATCATAGATCCAACCCCTCTATTTTGTCGAGAGATCCACTGAGATCATAGATCCAGCTCTCGGATCCAAGCACATGTCTGGTCTAAAGAGCAGAAAGATATCTTTGTCGTGTCAGAGGTGCCAAATAGGTACTCTTAATCGTCTCCTCGTTCATATATCGGACCTTGTTGGCGTGACTTCCTTTTCAGAGCTGCCATTTTCTCGCTTCAATACCGGCTATCTGCTGATATAAATCATTTGTTATCCTCCACAGGCTTTTGGTTAGTTTCCAAGGGTCAGTGATTCGGATTTTGTTTTCTTTGCTATTGAACTTTCGCTGTCAAGTGTCAGATATTGTTTTTGTATGCTGTTTATTTTTCCTCCTGCAGGGCTTGCGATTCATAAGGCTGGTTGATGCTTGCTCTTCAATTCGATAACTATTTTCTACGACATGCTTCTAGATACTTCACGCATATTGATAGGCCGTGCTCTGTGATTCGTTGACTGACATGTAGGTCTGGCCCTTGTATCGATAATCGATACAATATGGGCAGCCTGAATTCCCACTCCCAGTCATGATCAATGACAGATGCAATATGGTCTACGCATGATGTCTTATATGTTAGATAACTAGCTGAGATTTTCGTTCCTTTCTGGACATTGCCTTGATCAAGCATGAAGGCGTGATGCCCACATTGTACGTTTTGTGCTTTCTCCAGCATCGCCTTATCGATTTTTACCGCTCGATCACGCCTGTGTTATGGTAACTCGCCCCTCCTCCGCGGCGCCCTCGTTTCTTCGGCGCCGTCATCAGTAAACATTGTGTGTTCCGAGGTCCGTGGCTCGGCTACGCTGCGTCCAAAGGCGACTGTGGGTTGGGCGTTACCGACCCCGCTCCGCGCTTAGGGGTCATGTGATCAAGTCAGCTGTGACTTGGGTTATAGGGTACGAGCCTAATGCCATCGGCTCTCCTGCTGCTTCCTCCTTAGCTGCACATTATTTAAAAACATCTTTTTTTAAGATAAAATTGCTCTATCATAGCGAAGATTTGCACAAATATTGAGCCTCGAAAAAGCTTTCTCATATATGTGATTAAAGACCAAGTATCAGTAACATGTTGAAATGGATACCGTCATTGGTGTGGAAAATATCAATTACCTACTTTACATGATAAACAAAACCATTTGACCTTCGCTATTGGATGAGAGATTTGTAATTTTCTCCCAGAAAGAAACAAAGAAGTGTGTGCCGCAACGTTCTCTCCTGATTCGTGACACACGGTGGCCGTACCATGAACGTTCTCTCGGCCTCCGTCGTGCCGACTAATTGCGAGCTCGCCGTGCGCCGATCGCTGCGTCGCATTGATCGCGTCCGCGCCGCTCTCGGCGCGCGCCGGGTGCAGCCGCACGGAGCGGATGACGATTGACGACGCCGAGTCGACGGCGGTGCGCGTGCGTCGCCGTCGGAGCCCAGCTGACCGGCGGGCGACTCGCCGGCAGACTCGACTGTGGGCGCCCGGCGCGACTCGCCGGCGGGTCTGACGCCGCGCCGGGCCGCAGACGAGCGCGGAGCGCCGGGCGGAGCGGACTACCGAGCGGAGCGGAGTGTCGAACGGACCGGTGCGGGTGAACGAACGAGTGAGTGGAGAGACGGTCGGTGTGCGCCGACCACCAGCCGGTGACGTGGCTTCCTCCGGCGGCGAGGACGGCGGCCACATCTGGCCGGAGCTCGACCACCACCATCGGTAAGACGCACACAACACCTGGCGCCGTGTGCCTGCGAAAGCGGAACAGCTTTCTGAAGGAGTGTGGCGACCTTGCGCTGGAGAGGCCGTGTTGTCAGCTGGACGATTGTATTCGACAGGTGAAAACGGATGCGGTCCTCGGTATCTTTTGATCAGTCGTTTCTAGGCACTATGTGAAAACACCTGCCGGCAGCAGGGAGGTTTCGGATGGGGGCAAGATCGGAGAAGGAGATAGATCACATAACAGGTGGCTGTTCGTTCTTTCTCTGTCTTCTCCAGCAAATAGTTCTATTTCCATCCAGCTCTGGTATCAAATAGCAAATTCTGTTGGCATGTGGACCTCTGAGGCACGTTTCTTTGTCGAACTGCCGCTAATGCGTAGCGTTTTACGTTTATGAATACAGACAGTCAGTCCATCGGATGTGCCAGGTTTGCTACTTAATGACGAGTGGTGACAACTTGTTGGTGACTGTGTAACACTGAGTGCTTCATTGTAGGATTTCCTGCTATAACCTGGCCAGGGAACGATTACGCCGGGGCTCAGATTATGCCGTGATTTCATGCCGCTGTATTTTCCGTAGTATGACCTCCGCTGACTTGTCATGCATGAACTTACCGGAAGATGGAGTTACGGAACGGTTCGGTGAAGTTTAATTTGCAGACAACATGCGATCCGCACCACCTTTATCCGGTAGCGGTTGTAATCTTGTGACCTCGAGGCTTTCTGGGCCGGGACCTTTATGATCCTTTGTGACCTTGAGGCCATTGAACCCTGAGAAAGCCTGCGTTCGTAGCTGAGGTCTAATTGCACTTAACTGAGCTGTGCTGTTGTAGGCAGATTGCCTTGCTGAGGTTGGTATAAGCACCGTCCATTTATTTAGAACAGACAACTTATTTTTACACAAGTGTGAGGATTTCACCGTTTACGAGTCTCTGAGTGAGCGGATCCTGTTATGCCTGGAACATACAGAAACAAAGAATTGGCGACCTCTCACAAGTGACCATGTTCAGCGACCAACAGATATTATGTCATCTGCCTTGTGACGTAATTGATTCCCACCACTGTGCTGAAGGCTACTGCGTAATTCATAGTTTGGCGAGCGTCACGGTAATCGTGGGCTCGGCGGGCTTTGTCGACATTTCCCTGAGGCTTGCACAAAGCTCGAGCTTTGAAATGCTTTCACACTTGTTAGCCATGTCAGCACCGTGCGTGGGTATCACGTTCACCGTGCACGCTCCCGCCGGGCGTTCGTGAGTGACGTGCACGCGGCTGCGGTGTGCATACACGTGCCGCCCCTGTACCCCCGCGTGCCATGACCGCGGCCGGTGGGGTGTTTTTGTCCGTGTTACCGCCGGCTCCGCTTACCATCCGACCCGGCGCATCCATCACGGTGTCGGCGGCTCGGTCCCGGCGGGCGTTGGGCGCCGGAAGGTGCCCCGCCGCCGCCCGCCGCCAGTCGCTCGCTCTTTGTCTGACCAGCTCTCTGTGTGTTCCAGGCGGGCGAGCGATGCGGGCGGACTGATTGACGTTCAGCAGCGGCCAACCATGTCCAGACGGGGCAGCGCGGCGGCGGCCGGGTCCGGCTCAGCTGGACTCTGGTCGGACGCCGCTGCCGGCCCCGACACCCCGCTACGCGGCGACGACAGGTAGGTCCGCGGGGAGCAGGTGGCAGATAGTTGCCGCAGTGTCTGTCGCTGGTGACAGCTACGTCACCGTTGTGTCCGTCCGCTGGTGACAGCTGGGCAGCCGCACACAGAAACTTGTGTTGTGGCTCCCCTCACAAGTTTCTGCAGCAGCTTGACGACAAGCGGCAGCCGTTGCTAGCGGGGGAGTGGGTTCTAGCTGAGACCACCGTGACACCGTCTTGTGATGTAACCACGCGCCAGACGCCTTAGTGTCGTAATAGCAACCCGGTGGGGATGCCGCTGTGTATGTGGCGCCTGAGAGTCACGGCGGCTGTCCCGTTATCAACTGCAGACCTCGGGCGTTTCTGCGAAGGGGAGCAGCCAGAGACCGGATGGGAGCGGGGATGGGAGCTTTCGCAGTGAGACACAGGGGATACTGGATGCTCTGTGGTGTAAAGACACTGCAACACTGCAGCTGGCGAGATACTGAGAATGGTGAAAGGATGCCATAGTTGTGCCTTCGCAGTGTGGGATGATTGACTCAATGACTCACTCGCTAGATCCGGGGGAGGTAGTTTGGAATCCGTGGGTGGCGGTGGTGGTCCCTTGCAGTGTGGAGCTTTAATTAAACCGTTCCAGGAGAGCCGACCCACGGATTGTATTTAGAACCAGCCCAGGGGAGGAAACTCCCACACATAGCTCAAGGTCGCTACAGGATTGACGGGCTGCCACTCGAGAATAACTGGATTGTAGATCTGTCTCTGCTGGCACGTGTCAGTGCGATGTCGCCGTCTATGACTGACCCGGGCAGACAGTGCTCAAACAATGTGAGGCTGAAATCGGTGTAACGGTCAAAGTCCGACGACTCCATACAAGGTTTTGTCAATACTCTCATAATCAGACCCTCTTGAAGATGAGATTAACTGCTAATGCTCAGAGCTGATCAAAAGGCACGACACATTGAGAGCGCACGACTTCGGTGCTCGGTAGTGGTACATACGCATCGGTAATCGCGACTTTTCTACTCGTATGTGGAATGCTGGATAGAAGGTTGCTGCTCAGTTTTGTGAGGCTGTTCTATGGACAACCGGCCTCGGACTACCAGTCGGACCTTGATTAATTCCACGAGTGCGATGCGGAATACCTACTCAATATATTTTGCTGGAGAGGTCCCAATGGACGCCCTCCAAGGACCCCTTCTCCCATCCGTCCCGGGTACCCGATCTCCCGGTGCCCTTTCTAATCACGCCCCAGCCTTGTGTGCCGACAATCCCTTCATACGTCCGTGAGATGCCGTGATGGCCGGCCCCGCCCGTCTGATCAACGGACAACGTACCAAGGCCGGTAGCGGTTGGGCGTGGTGGGCCAGGCGTGGCGGCGGGGGTGTGGCTCACAGATGACGCCGGTACACACCCTGGCCTTCGTACCGTCATCGACGCCATCACTGCCGTCACTGTCACTGACGCCAGCACCGCACTGCCCACCGCCAGGAGGATTTAGGACGGCAATTATCTTTTTTTGTCACCGCCAGTGACGCTCTCTTGCGTAACACCGAGAAAGACACTTGCATCGTAATGGTTTCATATTGCAGTTGCAGTTGGTCGAGTGTATGCCCCACTACTATTGTCTGCGTCTTCATTCGGTGCTCGTCTCCCCGGGTCCAGTATCTCCCCTATCTGCTTGGCTCAGTATCTCGCGGATCTCGTCTGGCCGAACTCAGGATCCGGGCTCATGGCCACTTGCAGCGACTGGCCCGCCCAGTCGACTGGTCCGCCCAGGTCAGCTGGTCCGGTGTGGGTGTCTCGTGTCCAGCCCATGTCGGAGCCGGTCGCGAAAAGCCGGGCGTTGCGGACGTCGTTCGCCGGCCTAGTTAATCATGTAGGGTCTGACCGATCCCCGGGGACAAAGTGCTGATTGGTCAGCGCCCACAGGGGAGGTTGGCTGATGGGGGCGGCCGCGGGCGGACCTCCCTGCGGCGAGCCGATTTCCTGGGATGGTATGCAGTGAGGGACCATGGAGACGGTTTGTCTCCATGATCCGTCACGACGGTTGATCGGTGATGGTTTGTCTGGGAAGGCGTTGTCGGAGGACTTGGCCGTTGGCGAATCAGTGGAACATTTGGGGGTTGTTACATCCAAAGGTCTCTGAGCAGTCATCTTTTGGCTGAGTTTGTGCAATTAAAAATGTGAGGGATGGTGCTGTCGTCCCTGCCTCTGGTATACAGAATGTTGGGTGGTTTCTTTCATACGAGGACTGGCTGTCACTGCCAAGTGCCAGCCATTGTTTTTTGTTCAGGAATCTCTCCAAGGTGACCTTTACCAGAGAAAAAGCGACCCATCGCCTGGTAACTGAGGGGCTTCGAGAGATCATAAAACGGGTTCTGGGATGGTTCTGGTGGAACTGGGCCGTAGTTCGTGCTTGCGCAACTTCGAGAGGATGTCTGGAACTCCGATACGGAAGAAAACGACTCGTATCGTATGGAAAGTGTATCATATGTCCCGTGATAGCTACTAAGCTGTCACCCATGAGAAACGTCCATCTATTTCACTTATAAAGAAGCCTATCATCAGAGCTCAAACCCCATCACGCTATCCCAACCAACGACGGATGCCACTGTTACTGGGTGAAAGAGGCGTCGCTGCTGTCGTTTTTTACGCCTGGGAGCCGGTCCCGTGCGACTGGCGTCACGCGTTACGCTGCTGTGCGTCCCGTCACGTCATGTCACGCCTGCCGACCTCTGGACACGGGTGGCGCGGTGCTGAGGTGGCAGCCGCAGCCACTCTATTTACACGTGCGGACCGCGACCGGTCGCTGGCTGGGAACATGGCCCGGCAGCGCCCGGGGACATTCCATTCATCCGGCCACGTGCCGCTGACGGGTGGCGCTGTAACAGCCCACGTGCACAAATGGTACGGAAAGCCTCCAGCGGACGTCGCAGCTGGAAGCCGTCTGCGGCAATCGGGAGGAAAATTTCTCTTCAGCGCTCCCGCGTATGGTAGAATGCGTTACGGTAATTCAGGCGACAGGACCTCGAGCTGCGTTTGACTCTCCGGGTCCTACGACTGACATAAGTCGAGTTCCGCGGGGGCTGAATGGACTGCAGTGCCTTTGTTGCCTCCACGGCAGGCCTGCAGTTAGCATGATGGATCGGTCGCTGATACGACCTCTCAGGCACAATTGAACTAAATTACTCCATTGTGTCATACGGATTAGGCGAAATTTGCGACTATCTGTCTGGTGTCGTCAGTGGTTGCGCTCAATGCCACTTCTTATTTTTAGCAACATTATTTAGCTTTCGGGAAAGGAAAGCTGACTGAGATGCTCCCGTAGATATACCAGTCACCTCCAGTTTCAGAAGTTCTTAGTCTATCTGTGAATCGCCTGGTCGTTTTAAAGTCGCTGCCTGCACGCCAAATCCTCTTGCTGGTCTTCTTCCAGTGCAAGAACTTGTGCAGTCTGAGCTGGACGAAGCTGGTCAACTAGCGCTGATGGTCGGTCCCCTCTGTGTCTGCTAGCGGACTCTTTGCAGCTGCACGACAAAGCCCGCACGTGCTCAGGAAGCGGTGCTAAACTCTGAACGCCAATAAGACCTGTGTGCAGTGGGCACAAAATTGGTTCGTAGATTATTGCTGATTGAACGATGTGATTGATCGCTACTGCTGTAACGGGGATCGGTACATTGAAACATCCTTGGGCCATCAGATCGAAGTAGATTGGCCTTTCATGCTGATTGTTATCGCGGCCCTCGACTGGCGTTATTGAGGACACTCGACTGATCCAGCTAACATTGTCGCCAGCCCTCTGAGTCGGCTGAATAGTGACTGCAGAATGTGACCATGAGTCGCTGACTATCTTCTACTTGAGTCCTGGCTTTAAAGTGAGCTGTCCGAGCCTGGTTGTACGCTGAGAGCTGACAGGCCTGTTAGTGAATTAGGAGCCTGACCGTGAGTGGCGAGTTGCGCCCCAAGATGATCGTTGTTGTGAAGTGGCCCGCACTCTCCCAGTACCGTCCGCGGTAGGTGACGTATAACTGAGGCAGTGCACTTTCTCCATCACCGTCCGGTCCCGGTGTCATAACGGAGCTCCGTGCTCCCACGCCGCTGAGTCAGCCGGACCAGGGTGCGGCTCATGGTACCGGGCCGGGTCACGGCGCCGCCCCGCCCGCGCCCTCGCCTCCACACCTGAACCCGTCAGAGGGATACGGCCGCGCGCCTGTAGGGATGAGAGTGGGTGGATGGAGTGAGGGAACGATGCTAAGTGAAGGTCGTGCCGGAAAGTGGGTGACGATATGAGAGGGCTTTGTGCGCAAATGCCAAAGAGCTTGGCGCTGAAATGACGAAGCAAACGAGTGCTCTCAACCACTCGAGTCGTATGCCAAGTAAATGTTATCGTAGGAATTTGTTACTGCATCGTACTCCAACAAGCAAGGTCGCAGATGTAAAGCCCCATATACAAAGCCAGGTGTGATGCATTTTCGTCTCCATCAGGCATGAGTCATCTGTTTGCTATTGGATCATGTGGCGCTTACATAGTCCATTGAGGGCTTGGACCACGTTGAGACATCACCACGACGGGGTGGGACGGTGGTGAAGGGGTGATCTCCCGTATTGTGGCTGCAGGTGGGGCCCCGTGGTGCCTTGCCAGAGGTCGTGCGTCTCTCTCTCTCTCTCTCTCTCTCTCTCTCTCTCTCTCTCTCTCTCTCTCTCTCTCTCTCTCTCTCTCTCTCTCTCTCTCTCTCTCTCTTTCTCTCGCAGTGGATTTGATCTAGTTAACATCTCGCTATGAGTACCGGAATATTATATTCTTTCTTTTCTTTCCTCCACGTCCTTGCACTGATAAATCTTGAATATCAAAAGGCTAAATTTAAACCACTTTAGCTTGATAGCTGCTGCTTACCCGCTTATTCATATTGTGCGTCAGCTTATGTAGGAGGCAGCAGTCTCTGCAGCAGCCCTGACAACCTGAAGCTGCAGATAATCCTCTAAATTACACTCCACGAGCTATATTTGGAGTTCAAAGGG